TTTTTTTTTTTTTTTTTTTTTTTTTTTTTTTTGTTTCTGTGCTGGGGTTACTGATGGGCATTGTGTTTGTAAGCAGTTGTTAACGACGTTTATATATTGATTGACAAGATAACAACAATGTTTACTGGAAAACTTGAAGATGGAGATGCAAGTTTCATCCATCATCTTTCCTTTTCCTCGATTTCACTACCGTAAGTCATTGTATTAAATAACTATTTGAGACAGATTTGTTTGACCCTTAACCACATAATCAACATTGATATATGCGTGGGTATACCGATGCATCGTCAAATACAATCTAAACACACACACTCACACGTACAGCACAACACAAACACATAAACACAAAGCATACGCGTCATTTCAACAGCATTTCTACTGAAAACCATCAGTGCTTCGGAGAACAGTTTAGTCAAACATATGAACTGGATTCCGTACTACAATCAGCTTAAAAATCAAAATGTCCAACTTGGGTACATCTAGTTCTAGGAAATTTAGCTATTATTAGCTACCCACAGAAAATCTAAGCACTTTGCAGAAGAAAATATTTTGGATCAGTTAAAAGGCATAGTTACTAGATCGACACATGACATAAATGCCAGTATAAAAAAACTGAAACGTTTATACTATTGTCTTTACTTTTTATTCTATTATTTCCTAAAATCCTTCTTCCATTCCCTTAAAAAATTTCATTTTATTAGCCGTAAATTAAGCGAAATCGATTTACAGAACCAATTCCGCCTATCCCATCGGTTTTTCGTCTTCACCACTTTGTAATACGTTTCGCCTTCCTATTTCACGCTCACTTGAAAGTCGTTTTCCAGAAAATTCCAAGTACCTACATAGATATAAATATATAAACAAATATATAAATATATAAATATGTAAATATGTATATGTATAAGCATATAATATAAATATATAAATACATAAGTTTATACGTATACAAATGTATAAATATATAATTATATAATTATACAGATAGATAAGTATACAAGTATATAAATATACAAATATAAAAATGTATAACTGTATAAATACATAGACAAATAAATATATAAATATATAAATAAATAAATATATAAATATATGAATATATGAACAAATAAATATATAAATATATAAACATATGAATATATAAATAAATATATAAATTCATAAATATATAAATATATATGTAATATAATATAAATATTTAAGTGTATAAATATATAAACATATAAATATATAAATATACAAATATATAAATTTATAAATAAGTAAGTAAATAAATAAGTAAATAAGTAAATAAATAAATAAACAAATATATATATATATATATATATAT